TTAACGATTCAGTCGATCTTTTACCAATTTTTAGTTTCAAAAGGTGCGGTTAGTGAGGTGCCAGCAAGGTGGCTGGAGAAACAGTCTTGGTATCGACTGTTTTCAATATCACTCACAGCAGTAAGCTGACATTAGATCGTTTTTAAACAAACATTGAGGGTTTTTTTACACTAACTAGGCAGTTTTTTTGTTGCTCATGTCTGCTAGCGGATTTTATGCCTGCATAAGATTGTGTCGTCCCCATGCGCTGGCATGCTGAACCTCTGTAGATGTAGCTGGGCTTTAGGTAAAATTACAGGGTATGATTAATAACACAAAGAAAGATTGGCAACTCACACATTGTGTATAGCTAAGAGATTGATAGTTTTATGTATCCCACAGATGGATGTATAAAGGAATATCTTAACAAACGGTTTGGAGTCACTAGAAGAGACTATAGTTCAACAACAGTGTGTTAATGATATAAAGTCATACCTTAATGTGAGTTTGACTCACTGGAAGACACTATAATCCGACAGCCAGACTAATAAAGACTTTGTCGACCCAGCCACACAATTGTAGCCACATTAGACATTGCAACCAGGAGCTATTTCAGGTAGATGGTTCAAGCATAGCACACCAGTTGTCAGAAATAAAATGAACACAGGTTACTACTGGCTGCAGAGCTCCCTGACTATGCAGTGAGGTGTTTCTGTGACATGGAGAGGGTGTGTGGGTGTGACGAGGGGGGAGGAGGGTGGATGCGAGTGGCCAATATCAACATGACTAGACCCAATGAGAACTGTCCAGCAGGGTTCAGAAAGGTCACTGCCTCTGGCAAGACAATGTGTGGAGGGTCAGAGCCGATCATGCATCAGTACACTTTCGGCTCACATGGACTCAGTTACAGTCGAGTGTGTGGGAAAATCATTGGCTACCAATTCGCAACTACAGATGCATTTGGTATAACTGGTGGATCTATTGACACTATCTTTGTTGATGGCATAGTCCTATTCATGGCTCTCCACGTAATCACATATGGACGTTTGCTGCTGGAGGTCCAGTACAGAACTGATCAATATAACTGTCCCTGCAATGGTGCTTCTATCAGTGGAACTGTACCTTCATATGTTGGCAATGATTACTTCTGTGACAGCGGACACCGCTATAATACAAAAACTCCATTTACCTACCTAACCAATGACCCACTCTGGGACGGTGCTGGCTGTGTTAGTGGCTCCTGCTGTACCTTCAACTCTCCTCCGTGGTTCTGTAAGAACTTGTCCACACCAACTACTGATGACATTGAGCTACGGCTCTGCATTGATCAGGCTCTTTCTGATGAAGACGTACTCTTTGAAACAGTGGAGCTATACATTCAGTGAGCTTTCTCTTCTCACAGAAACGGTTACAATAGCACAACCGGAGAGTGTGGAACACGTAGCTAGTCGCTTAGATTAGGGTACCTTATACAAACTACTCTGTGTAGTGCACGCCTCTACTTTCAAGTGGTTGCACACACACAGCCACATATTGGCACTGCACATACAGTAATACTTCTACGTATAGGTTACACGATGGCGGCGCGTGGTGTATATACACGAGTGTGCGTAGACCACCACAAGCCAATGACGTGTTTGTATGATGACATCCGGTTCTGACCAATGGAATTGCGCAAAAGCTTTCAAAACGCCCTCTTTTCCGTCGGGGACGGGGAGAGAGAAAGCTGCAATAAGCGCACGATGTGTGAATTAATGGCTCTGCCAAATGCTCTCTTAATCACAAAACAGCACTATTGCGCTTGTACGGAGTGATGCGAGGGATAACATGCCAACACACCTTAGATTATTGGATACCAGAGAATATTTTTGCTACACCTGCTGTTGCCCTGACTCACTCTAGCCTTCAAAAGAGTAAAAGACTTTTCATTCATGAAGTCTACACAGCTGGGTGCATGCACCCTCAGAAAGATACTAGCTAGTCTGGTTCTCTAAACATCACAGCGCCGACACTAGTTTGAGGTGCTCTTTCATGTTCTCTGGGAGTCAAGTGCAAAGTATTGTTTTTCAATGGGTGCTAAAAATTAAACAGGGCAGCAAATTATACTATAGAGTCATAAAACCTGTGCAGCAAGAACTATTGAGTGCATACATTGGGAAGGTCGGAAAAGAGTTCATATGTGCATCCTTTCACTGCAATATACAAGGTGAGAAGGTTCATCTATAGAGAGCTGAAGATCCATATGTACTCTTAATTTGCACAATGCACCAAAACATAGAGAACTTCTGTAGCCACCAACTGGATGTGCATGTGGAACGAAAACATGTTTAGCGGTACAGGAACCTGCCACTAGAGTCACGTAAATAAGACGTGACATTTTCTCTGCTTGCTATGGCCCAGCTGTGCCAACGTTCATGAAATGATTATGCACACAGTAAACACTTTGTGTCATTAGTCAATCTGCTTGTTTCACTTTTAACCTCACCAGAATAAAACAGGTCCAGTTGTTGGCTACAGAAGTATGGACATGTCTCGCAGTTTGATAGCTGGTCTGGTGTTGCTGCTCTCAGCCACCTCAGTGGTTGGTAACGGAGGTGAGTGACTGAGACACTGATACATACACAGAGAGAGACACACAAGATGTTGGTGGAGGTATTATGTAGCTACCACTGCAGATGCTAACTCTACTGAGTGTGTGAGTCAGCAGGAGCTGGCCGCTGTGAAGGCAGAGATTGCGAGTAAAGTCGACAAGCTACACTCACAGATCAACTACTGGCAAGGGGTGACTGTCAACAACATTTTCCAAGACAACTGCAAACAGGTTACACTGCCACCACTTGACTTGGCTTAGCTACTGAGCATGTTATAAACTAATACGGGTGGTCACGACTGAATCCACCATTTCACTCACTTGGTGCATTAAAAACAAGAGTTGTTTGTGGCATTACATAAGGCCCCTTTGTTTCATTATTACTCACATTATGTGTTAAGTAGCTAACTACAATGTGGATAGGCATAGCTATCTAGCATATAATACCACTGCTAATGCACTTAAACTTTTTAACTGTACGCAGTAGCAAGCTCTTCTGAAACCTCTCCTGGATGTAGTGGGGCGTTCACCAACCCAGCTGTGATTGGTGCCTCAGCAGCTCTTCTTGCAGTGATTATTGTTCTTATAACAGTCGTCGTCATACAATGTGTACTCCTCGTTAAAAAGAAGAGGAACACTGAGACCTCTGTGGCTGCCACTAGTGGGACGAGTAGCACTGCTCACAGTGAGACGTATCCAGTGGACGCAACGACCAGCAAAAGTGACTATATATGTCACACTCAATGAGGCTTATGGAATAAACAAGTAATACATGTATATACCACTCCCAAGTAAATGAACAATTTCATTATGAGAGACTGAAAAACTAAGGATTGTGTATTTCACGCGGTGTGGTTGTTTCATTTTGTCACCATTAATCTCTCATGAGCGATTTATAAATTTTGACCAAATGAGGCACCAAACTTAGACACTGGACTTAGTTGACACGATCATGGTCCACAGGCTATGCAGTGAAGGTGTTCTGTGATAATATGGAGAGGGTGTGTGGGTGTGATGAGGGGAAGGGGAGGGGGAGGGTGGATGAGAGTGGCCGATATTAACACGGTGCATGACTTCAGAATAGAGCCTAGGAGAATTGTCGGCCAGGGCCTCTGGCTAGAGGTTGCGGGGACATCAAATTATGTTATACTAGAACAGACATGCTGATGGGCTGATTTCTTTAGAGCCAAAAGAGGCCGCCAGAGCTGCATTCACCGCGGAGACATGTTCCATTCCGTGGGACTCAGTCTCTACCTCGTTCCATACCGTGTGGTCGCTACTGCATGTGGGGTATGCCTCTTACACCATATTGTATGTGTATCATACTTTTTAATCTGTTTGCACTTATACTGACACTTCATACTCGTTACTGCGGGGTCCTAACCAGTCACAACTGGTGTCTCAGAATGTAATCTGCACATTACTGACACTTCACATTTGGTGTCTCAGAATGTAATCTGCACACTATTGACACTTCACATTTGGTGTCTCAGAATGTAATCTGCACATTACTGACACTTCATACTGGTTTCTCAGAATGTAAACTGCACACTATTGACACTTCATACTGGTTTCTCAGAATGTAAACTGCACACTATTGACACTTCATACTGGTTTCTCAGAATGTAAACTGCACACTATTGACACTTCATACTGGTTTCTCAGAATGTAAACTGCACACTATTGACACTTCATACTGGTTTCTCAGAATGTAAACTGCACATTACTGACACTTCACATTTGGTTCTGACACTTCATACTCACAACTGGTTTGTAATCTGCACACTATTGACACTTCACATTTGGTGTCTCAGAATGTAATCTGCACATTACTGACACTTCATACTGGTGTCTCAGAATGTAATCTGCACATTACTGACACTTCATCTCACAACATCGGGTTTCTCTGCACACTACTGACAGAGAGGATGCAAGGGTAGAATAGCTATTGGTAACAAGTTAGGATACGGTGGAACCTTGCTCAGGGGAGCATCATAATTCTTAATTAGGAATTCCACTATTTTATTAGCTAGCTGTACTAGTGTTTGGAAAATAACCAGGCAGAAGAATAGCTGCTACAGACAGACAGACACACACACACACAAACACAAAGTACCGTAACCCGTAGAGGGTGGTAGAGAGTAGAGTGGAGCGTTGATTTTTTTTTATAGATGTGTAAACTTCCCACTATTAAATGAGCAACGTAACAGTATTTACTTATCAGTGAGGATGTGGTTCCCTTTGTGACAGTTTCATCAGGTCCATCACTACCCTGCCTGGTTGTTGCAGGGACTGGTAGGCTGGGTCTGCATTTTCCAGGGTCTGCACCCCAGTGTAGACCGGCCAGGGTGTTAGGACTGTCCAGGGCTAAGGAGGACATGGGAGGACGTTTAGCACGTACCAATTAGCAGCATCTGCTAGAATAAACAGCTTGAACCCCCACTTTGTTGGTTTCAGGGGCACATACTGGATTGACCCAAAACACCCACGAAACCCTACCATTATCTCGTCCAGTGTGAGACTTGGTGATGGGCAATAGAGAGCCCGAAAGCGGGGGAGGAGGATGTCTAGGAGTGGCCTTATTTTATCTAGCTTCCTGGGGACATTTCCGACATGGAGCATCCAAAATATGTCCTGAAAGCGGTCTCGTGGCGGGACATCATGGAAGAAAGGGACCTGACGCACCCATGAGGTCTTAGTAACTCTCAATTCCGGCGCATGCGCAGCGTTTTGCGCGTAAAATATCGCGCGCGCACACACACACCCTTTCACGTAAATTACGTGGCCACTATAATAGTGGCCCTCCGCGCTACGCGGAGAAAGATTAACGGCCATTATACTGGCGCGGCAACGACTAACTGTAATACACCTTGCTTCCTTAGGAAATTGTACAAATTTGAATAGTGAAACAGTTAGTAGCTATGTCTCGCTGTGTGATAGCTGGTCTGGTTTTGCTGCTCTCGGCCACCTCAGTGGTTGGCACAGGAGGTGAGTGACTGAGAAACTGATGCACACACACAGAGACAGAGAGACAAGTTAGTTGAGGGTGCTACCACTGCAGATGACTCAACTACTGATAACTCTACCGAGTGTGTGAGTCAGCAGGAGCTGGCTGCTGTTAGGAAGCAAGTTGACCAGTTACACTCGCAGATATACTACTGGCAGAGCATAAACATCCGCAACATTGTCCAGGATCACTGCTCCTCTCAGAATACTGGTAGGCTAGGTATTCAGAGTGTACAGGCAGAATTGATGATGTTGCCATCGCTTTGAGAGAGAGACAAGTTAGTTGAGGGTTCTATATACCACTGCAGATAACTCAACTACTGATAACTCTACCGAGTGTGTGAGTCAGCAGGAGCTGGCTGCTGTTAGGAAGCAAGTTGACCAGTTACACTCGCAGATCCACTACTGGCAGAACATAAACATCCGCAACATTGTCCAGGAACACTGCTCCTCTCAGAATACTACTGGTAGGCTAGGTATAATATACTCAAGAGTGTACAGGCAGAATTGATGATTGGTGTTGCCATTGTTTTGAAGCCAAGTTAGCTGTTGTATAAAAGTGTGTAGCAATACCACAGGCATTGTCTGCTTGATCCATGTGCAACAATTACCATGTGCTACTTATAATGACATAACACTTCTTCTGACAATGGGATAACTCTATTACTGCAGTGGACCTTCTGCCTACTTCTGAAGATTGTGTGGATTATGCTCTGATTGCTGTGCCTGTTGTATCTCTCCTCCTGATAGTCACTCTCACTACAGTTGTTGTGACTCAATGCGTACTCATCATCAGAATGAGGAGGTCTAGGAAGAACAACACTGAGTCATATTATACCAGCCCAACCACCAACACTACTGATGTTCCTATGTACAGTAATGAGGCATATTCACTGACCATGATGAATACCAACTGGGAAGAGTTCGAAAGGTGAAGAACTCGAGACTCATTGGCAACTAAGATAATTACAGCCAGGGATAATATTATAGCTAACTCTACTGTTTTGTTATATATCCTTCATGTGTTTTTGCTGTTGACCTTCAGTGTATATATTATATACAACTGTGATTAAAAATTCACTAGCAGGAGAGGTTGCTCAATAATTATTTTCTCTCAATTAAGTGCAGCCATGGGATGATTTTGTTGTACAAAGACTTTGTGAACACAAGGTCCAAGTTTAGTTAATCAGATTGTAGCTAAAGTGCGAACTTCGCATGCGCGATACTGGGACTGGGTGGAGAGTGGTGGAGAGTCTGACACGGGCTAGCTACAGTAGTAGATAGCATGCGGGAGTCGATACATGCCACTCGTTGTGACTTCCTGAGCCCCCAAGGTATATACACAGAGCGAGCGGACAGTAAGTCCAGTGCGAATGTGCAATTGGCTTTTTCACGGCATATCTCTCGAACGTATAATAGTCGTTTCAGGAAAATCACTCTTTTCTTTTTCAGGCTCGCGTAATTCTGAAGCCGCTGGTATCGCTAATAGGCCGCCTCGTAGCCAGAATAAGCGTCGACACACAGACAGAACGACTATTATACCGTAACCCTGGCTGCGGATGCGCGCCGAGGGTTAATTATCTTCCGGCATGCAGCTAGTCTGGAGTGCTATATAAAGTGCGCGTTGATTTACGTATGGCATTCCGCTATCATGACTTGTGGTCTGATTCTGCTGCTCATTTTGAGCATTGCTGCAGTTTGTTCAGTAGGTGAGGGACTGAGAGAGACTGATACATACGACATACTTTTAGTTTGCTGTCACTGCAGATGGAGATAACTCTACTGAGTGTGTGAATCAGGAGGAACTGGCTGCTGTTAAGGCAGAGGTGGATCAGCTAAACTCACAGCTACACTACTGGCAGAATGCGACTGTCAACATTCTCAAGGACCACTGCTCCTCCATCAATACAGGTATCCCTGCTAGTCAGTGGCTAGTACAAAACAGCCACTACCCCGATTTTACTACATCCAAAGGTCCAGCTCGCGAGTGTGGAAGTGAAGTGACTGGAGACACTGTTCTGATGTCCATTGTGTTCAACATCACACAGAGTAAGTATAGTTACTACATGTGTAGCATTCCTTCAGCTAGTTGACTGCTAGCGCAAGAATGTAGCGTTGAGAGTTTGACAAAACATTCTCTTTTCCCTGTCACTCTCAGTCTATCCAACTCTGAATACTAAGCTACACATACGTGCTTATATACTGACACAAAAATTTAATTAGTATAGTAGGAATGTTCTAGAGGGTCAGAGGTTACAGATGTAGCTCTAGCTAAGGAAGTACAGCCAAAAGGTGCACACATTATTTTACTGAAGCTGTAAGCATTCACAAGCAACCCATTAGTGCTAGGGGCATTTTACATCAACTGGTCTGCATATCGTATTTGCTAGGTACTTTAGTGTCTTAGTCATACTAATGCTCTTTCATTGTAGCTACACCTTTCATTGTGTGTTCAGAGACATAGAGGATTAGCTACACTGTAGCGGCATTACCGAGGGTTGCTGTAGTCGTTCGTGTGTCTGTCTGTGTGTCTGTCTACGACTATTCTCGCACATCAGGCTACGAGGCGGCTTATGAGCGATACCAACAAATTTAGCGGTACATGGGCTAGAAAATTTAAATGGCGATTTTGCTGAAACGACTGCGTTCGAGAGCGACAAACTGGCACGGTCGCGGACAGCGTTGCGTGGCCCAACCCGTGCGCATGCGTGTATTAGACGCGAACGCTGGCTCACCTCGACCTGATCCGCTTGCTCTGTGTACCTTGGAGGCACATGAAGCCACAGCGAAGGGTATGCATCGACTCCCGCATGCTATCTACTACTGTAGCTAGCCAGTATCAGACTCTCTGCGAGCTACTAGCGGGAGACCGCCAATGCAATAGCGCGCCCAGCCCCAACCATTAGCGGTACCGCGCATGCGCAGTTCGCCGAGGGTTTGCACTTTCATTGTTAATGTGCAATATTACGTCACCACAGATGACAATACTGAAATTAAGAAACAATTGGATTCACTGGAGGACTTAATAACCCAGCGTGGAAGCTTCCTAAACCCAGCAGACAGCTGTAACCAAATTCTCTTTGAAAATCCTGGAACAACCTCAGGTAAGGAGAAATAATAATTATGCCGACCAGTTATCAACACAGAGTAATAGTTAATCTGAGATGAAACTGTAGCTAATGTAAACATGCAGGTTACTACTGGCTGCTGAGCCCCACAGGCCGTGTAGTGAACGTGTTCTGTGATATGGAGAGGGTGTGTGGGTGTGACGAGGGGGGAGGAGGGTGGACGAGAGTGGCTGATATCAACATGACTAGACCCAATGAGAACTGTCCAGCAGGGTTCAGAAAGGTCACTGCCTCTGGCAGGACAATGTGTGGAGGGCAAGACCGATCATGCATCAATACCACTTTCAGCTCACATGGACTCCAGTACAGTAGAGTGTGTGGGAAAATCATTGGATACCAGTTTGGAAGGACAAATGCGTTTGCTCCTTTTAATTTAAATAGTGGATCTATTGACACTCTCTTTGTTGATGGCATAATCCTATCTCATGGCTCTCCACGTAATCACATCTGGACTTTTGCTGCTGGAATCAATCAGTTAGAAACTGACCAAAATGGCTGTCCCTGCAATAGTGCTTCCTACAGTGGAACAGTACCACCATATGTTGGCAATGATTACTTCTGTGACAGTGGACACCACTCTAATACATTCACTCCACTGATCTACCTAACCGACCCACTCTGGGACGGTGCTGGCTGTGTTAGTGGCTCCTGCTGTACCTTCAACTCTCCTCCGTGGTTCTGTAAGAACTTGTCCACACCAACTACTGATGACATTGAGCTACGTCTCTGTGTGGATGAGGCTCTTAGCAATGAAGACGTACTATTTGAAACAGTGGAGCTCTACGCTCAGTGAGCCTCTGGTGTAGAGACTACAGCTAGCTTAAACAGTGTGTGTGTGACTAACATTTCATTAACTTAACTGTGCACAATGTGTGAATTAGTGGTTCTGCCAAATCAAATGTTCTCTTAATCACAAAGCAGCACTATTGCGCTTGTACGGAGTAATGCGAGGGATAACATGCAGCACACCTTAGATTATTGGATACCAGAGAACATTTTTGCTACACCTGTTGTTGCCCTGACTCACTTTAGCCTTGAAACAAAGTAAAAGAGTTACATTCGTGAGAAAGTTTATACACAGCTGGGTGCATGCACCCTCAGAAAAATACTAGCTAGTCTGGTTCTCCAAACATCACAGTGCTGACACTGGTTTGAGGTGCTCTTTCATGTTCTCTGGGAGTCAGGTGTAAATATTTTTCCAAAGGGTACCAAAAATGAAACATGGCAGCAAATGATACTATAGAGTCATATAACCTGTGCAGGAAGGACTATTGAAATTGCTTAGACCGGTCTTGCATATGTACATTGGGAAGGTTGGAAAGGAGTTGACATGCATCCTTTCACTGGAATATACAAGGTGAGAAGATTCATCTATATAGACAGCTGAGATCCAAATGTACTCTTAATTTGCAGAATGCACCAAAACATAGAGAACTTCTGTAGCCAGCAACTGGATGTGCATGTGGAACGAAAACATGTTTAGCGGTACAGGAACCTGCCACTAGAGTCACGTAAATAAGACGTGACATTTTCTCTGCTGGCTATGGCCCAGCTGTGCCAACGTTCATGAAAATCGTTATGCACACAGTAAACACTTTGTGTTATTAGTCAATCTGCTTGTTTCACTTTTAACCTCACCAGAATAGAACAGGTCCAGTTGTTGGCTACAGAAGTATGGACATGTCTCGCAGTTTGATAGCTGGTCTGGTGTTGCTGCTCTCAGTCACCTCAGTGGTTGGCACAGGAGGTGAGTGACTGAGAGACTGATACATACACAGAGAGAGACACACAAGATGTTGGTGGAGGTATTAAGTAGCTACCACTGCAGATGCTAACTCTACTGAGTGTGTGAGTCAGCAGGAGCTGGCCGCTGTGAAGGCAGAGCTGGAGAATAACGTGGACAAGCTACACTCACAGATCAACTACTGGCAAGGGGTGACTGTCAACAACATTCTTCAGGACCACTGCAAAACAGGTTACACTGCCAACACTTGACTTGGCTTAGCTACTGCAAATCTTTGAGCATTTATTTTTTAAACTAATATGGGTGGTCACGACTGAATCCATCATTTCACTCACTTGGTGCATTAAAAACAGAGTTGTTTATGGCATTACATAAGGCCCCTTTGTTTCATGATTACTCACATTATGTGTTAAGTAGCTAACTACTCTGTGGATAGGCATAGCTATCTACCACTGCTAATGCACTTAAACTTTTTAACTGTACGCAGTAACAAGCTCTTCTGAAACCTCTCCTGGATGTAGTGGGGCATTCACCAACCCAGCTGTGATTGGTGCCTCAGCAGCTCTTCTTGTTGTGATTATTGTTCTTATAACAGTCGTCGTCATACAATGTGTACTCCTCGTTAAAAAGAAGAGGAACGCTGAGACCCATGTGGCTACCACTAGTGGGACGAGTAGCACTGCTCACAGTGAGACGTATCCAATGGACGCAACGACCAGCAAAAGTGACTATGTCACACTCAATGAGGCTTATGGAGTAAACAAGTAATACATGTATATACCACTCCCAAGTAAATGAGCAATTATGAGCGACTGAAAAACTAAGGATTGTGTATTTCATGCCGTGTATTCTGGTGTGGTTGTTTCATTTTGTCATAATTAACCTCTCATTAGTGATTTATAAATTTTGCCAAGTGAGGCACCAGAACTTCCACGACTGGTCCACAGGTTATGCAGTGAAAGTGTTCTGTGATACGGATAAAGTGTATGGGTGTGATGAGGGGAGTTGGGAGGGAGGAGGGTGGATGAGAGTGGCCGATGTCAACATGGTGCATGTTCAGACTAGAGCCTAGAACTGTCCAGGTCTTCTGGCACAGGATGCGGGACATCAAATATATATTCTAGAGTGAAAATGAACATGCGTGCATTTCTCTATTTAGTCTCGTGCCCAGACCACCGCCGCCGCGCCCTCTCTTGAGGGCGGGGTCTGGGCACGAGACTATACAGTATAGTAATCTATATCAGAGGGTCGGTACCTACGCGGTATATAGACGCTCTATAATTATGTAGGGATGGATCGATGGGCGCGGCGAGTGATCTCTCACGTGATCCGCGTACAAAACGCCTCGAAACTCGCTACATAATTATGCTCAAGTTTCATACGTCCCTGCAATTGTCGAGAATCCGCTCATACGCGATTTCACGATTTTCTTCTTTAGACCCGCTTTCTTACTGGAACGATGCACTGAATTTCTCACTACACGTGTCCCGCGATGCTGTAGATCTAGATGTGCATCATCGTAATATATTCATCACAGTTGGGTGTAACCGCAACCACTCCAGATAAGTGGTTGCTGAAATTCCTTTGGCCCCTAGAGAGGCATAGCTAGTTATTTATGTAACCAGACCCTTCTCTCCCCCCTCTTATCGTATATACTGACCCTCATAAAAAGGGCAGCTGTTAGCCCAGTTGAAGAAAAAAAGGTAATGCAGACAGACCTGACCTGTTGTAGGATACCCAGCTGTATTATACTAAGATTATCTGGGAGTTGTGAGGCTCTGAAGTGTTTTTCCTGCCCCTTATCACCACTGCTGACTTGTACATTCCTGCACCATTATCCCACTGCTGACCTAGCCTTTACTCACTACCAATCCTATTGTGAGCCTACTATCCTTCCTATTGTAAGCATAATCCTTTACCTTGTCTGACTACTCTTCTGTAGTATGCTTTGTGTTTCACTTGATGGTGCATAGCTACTATCTTTATGTTCAAAAGGGCTGGACTGCAACTGCACAGACAGCACTTGTCAAGCTGGACCCTGAACCCTACAAACTTCTGGCTTCTACTGCCACTGCCCACTTGCTACTAGCTATATGCCCCTGATTGGGCCTCCACCTTTGACTTCAGCTGGATATATAGACTATATAATAGACCTCTCCTAAAGAAAAACTTTCTTTCACAACAAAGCGCATGTATAATCTTTCTTGGTATCCTTTTCACATAATTTACAACCCCATCCTACATTCCGCTTCATTTGAAGAATCATTTTCCCTTGTAATAGTAGCTACAAGCTGTAAGCCTACAAAGTCGCGCTTTGGTTGGGGACGATGAGAATCCGGAAATAACGGTACAACAATTATTCAGGCCCGCGCTCGGTCGTGCGCCGCGACTCTGCAAAGCAAGCAAAGCGAATCTCTTTCGTCCGCTACCACAAATCGGTATGTCGAGCACTCGTCTCGGCACTCACCGTACTCTGTGGTGCCCGCCAGATTGTAGACAGCGTGCAGACTGCACACAGCGGTTGACTCGCCTGCTGCTGTTGTTGTGTTCTTCAAGCTGGTAGCTGCACTGATATCCATGTTGATAGACGAAATGGCATCTCCAACACAGTTGCTGCTCAGGAACCCTGAAAGCCTTGCAAAACCCCACTCTTGCACTGGAGTGTGTCCAGAACATATCCCCGACAACACCAGTGTCTCGATGTAGTTGAAGGACCGTACACCTTAACAATGACTCACGGCTGACTTCATAGAAGGGAAACTGGAGGTTCGATACACTGGTAACTCCAGCACAACTAAACCTGTGTAGAGATTGAACTGTGAGAAGGTGCAGGGCTATCATTTATCAAATCCGATGGATAAACACCAGAATTTAGTCACTAGCTTTGGTTTCCATAACAACAGCAAAGCAACTATTTCTATTCTAATGACCCTCAAATCCAGAGGTCACAAGTACTCTCTATTTCCTTCTCTGTCGGACTGTCACCATCTCCCACGTCATGAAAGGAGAACCGAAGACTGGTGTGGTTATGTACAACACAGGGCGTCAACACAACACCCAACCAAACTTTAATCAAAAAAACCACTTAATAATATTTTAAGACTCGAGAATGGAGGTTGGTGGTGTGTACATTGAGTTGCCTATTGCTATCCCGGCACACCTATTGCTCAATGGCCCCTCTAATATTCCTGAGACTAACAACACCAGAGACTCAACCTACATCATATCCCGTATCTTTTCAGACAAACTGCAAAAGTAGGGATTAATCACCACACATTAATTCTGCGCAACAGAAATGGCCACCTGGCATTTGGCAGAGGGGGCGGGTTGTCAATGTTCTTCAAGGAGTGCAACAAAGCAACTACATGAATATTGAACTGTGATTTTACAGACACACTCTGCCATGATGGTGGGAGGAGGTCTGCCTAATTGCAATGCAGATTTCACCCAGCACAAACAATACCGTCCCATTAGCAGCTCCCAAGTTTTTCTCAAATAATGAAGTGTCTCTTCAAACGAGGACAGTAGTAGGGTACAGTGCGAGGTGGCTGCAAGATAGGCTTTCACGTTTTTCTATCTTTCCTTCCTCCACTTCTTCTTACCCTCCCTCGTTTCCCCTTTTCAGGCCTTCCCCTTTTCTCTTCTATCCCTCTTCTTCTCCCTTTCCCCTCCCGTTTTCCCGCTTTCTCCGTCCTTTTCACGATTTCGAGGACACCCACGCAAAACTGAACTCTACAATCGCTGTGACAGCTGCAAACTTTCGTAACAACACTGCCTCTTTATGGTGGCGGAGTGTCGTTACAATGCAGCAAGCGGAGCTACTGCGAAGACATGCAACTAATTCGCTGAGTTTTCACGAACACGAGATGCGGAGGGAATGTATGCCAGAGCTGGTTCCGGAGCTGACTTATCGGCTGTGGCATACAGAACCCAAAGGAGCTGTGGTTGTTGTTAAATTCACACTACTGTAGTTTCTGAAGGAAACACTAGGATGATACTACACTACGATCTAACTACACTACAAGTCGAAGCACTGTTTGTTGGAATAGGTGCACTGTACCTGACTCCATCCCAGTCTATTCACGGGCGATAACATCTTTCGGATAATGATCACTCTGCCATTGCTGCAATAACCACTGGGATTTACATCACAGCCAATCTAACTGTAGCTTCACAAACAACAAGTCGCAATGGTGGTGGCCGTTGCACACTACTCGTGCAGCGTTCATTCAGACGTCTCCTTATCCAGAGTAGAATTTGTCATAACACTGCTGAAATTGAGGAGGAGCAATCTATGCGATATCGATTGGCGAACACGATCTCATTAACTCCAGAACTGTTTTATTCGCTACAGTGATATCTCAGTCGCACCTAGTGATGACTCAACATCTTCTTCTCTGGCAACACTGCCAATGGGCGCAACGACTCAACTTTTGCGTCGTCTCTCTCTGATATGTCAGTGGAGGCCCCTCTGGAAATTCTCTAATGACTCTCAACGTGTTCTGTTGGTCTGACAAATGGGATTATGATGTGCAACTGCAAAAACTGAAACTCGACCTTCACCAGCAACTTTTGACTCTACATCAAATTCAACGATGAGATATTTCCTGGTAAACGGAGCAACACAAATCTGACTAGTGCGATCGCAAAAACATGTGACGAGCTCGATGTATTTCTGCCAGATCCCTGACAACGATGATATACATATTGACTCTAATAGCCTGTACATTTCAGCAATGTATCAAAATACATGCAAGAAATGATCAGAGTAGAATCAATGGAACTGTATATTCTTGAGACTACATCGACCCACGAGTGATCCAAGGGAACTGGACGTCACTGTTTTGCATGCCCTCCAGGGATGGAGTTAGTAGAGACAACGTACAATTCTGCTCGTGCCAGTGTAAAGGTGATTTCAATAGTAAAGTAGTTAATTGCAATGAGGCGATTTTCTACCAAAATACAACGAGGGAACTGGATGGTGTGTATCACCATGAACAATAGTTATTAGCAGGACTCCTTATTTTGACTCCAGTTCAAATGGCTTATACATGATCTTCCCAGAGATGTCAGTGAACTTAATGGCTTTCTTTGTGACAATATTCATAGGAAGGAATACTGTGTGGAAAGTGCAAAGATGGTTACGGTCCTCCCCTCACACCTAGAGTGCATAGATTGTCCTCCTGACTACATGTGGGGCCTTATACCTGTCTCCCAATTCCTCCCTCTGACCCTGCTCTTTGGTATAGTGGTAGTGCTAGACATCCGTGTCACTTCGGCACGAGCAAACGCATTCATCTTCTTCGCCAAGTCTTGCCAACTGTCTTCACACTGGATGGTGGCGGTGCCATAACCCTTGATAATACGAACAACAACTTGATTGATGTATACACTTACTTGTATACATTTGGAACTACAGTTTCTTTCGCAAGTGGATCTGTCTTAGTCACAACTTAGTAGCTTGGAGCCATATCCATGACTTATCTTGAAGCCGTCTATCACTGGTACTGAAGGGATATGCGTGTTTAGTCTGGCTATATGAAGGGTTTTCGATGCTTTGTGTGCATATTTCGACCACTTCCACCCAGATTGCTCGTTTTCAGCGTACTGAACATTCGCGTTCTCTTGTACACACCTTTGCTTCTTTCATTCTCCTATCCTAGCAGTCGTTTCGTTTGGTGTCATTTCTCTGCTGGATACAAACACCACTAGTTGATATCAGTGGAAAGTGATGGGTTATGTTCCATTTAATGAGTGAACTATTCTATCGTGGGGGGAAACATGTACCTTACGTCTACTGTCTCTGCTAGCCTTGTTCATTTTTGTAATTGTAACTACCTCTCCTTTTGATTGTTCCTTCACTTGCTCGGAACCTCAACATCATTCGCAACAGGTGGCACAAAACGGGAAAGTTTATTCAATGA